AATGTAGGGTAGGGAGAAGAGAATATTAGAAGGCCAAATATATGGGCCTGGACATGTTTAAAAATTCGAATTGGGCTTGGTCCTGATTTTTTTTCTTTTAGATAATCTATTATGTAAGGTTTAGGTTCAATAACCCAATATTTATCAATACACATTTCAAATGCTTCAATATTTCTGCTTATAATTTAATATACCTTTTAAAATTTTAAAAAATTCATATTACTGATATTTAGTATTTCTTCTTTTTGTCTATAAAAAGATTAAGATTTTTCTGTAAATAATAATATTTACCGTCAATATGAAGATAATAATATGTCACTGTTGACATATCAAAGTATCTATTAATCAAGTTTATTGCGCAGCAGGATATCATTACTTCTTTCTAATGTTTTAATATTTATACTTGTAATTTTATATAATTTTAAAATGTAATTTAAATATTTTAAAAAGTTATGTTACTAATTTTTAATATTTCTTCTTTCTATTGAAAAAATTAAGATTTTGGTCGGTAAATAATAGTATTTATACCGGTATAATATCTCATTGTTGACTTCCCAAAGTATCTATCAATCAAGTTTGTTGCATAGACAGATATCATGTGATTCGATAAACCCATGAGTGACGTTACTAATGGTATGATTCATGTTAATAAACAAAGTTAATTGTTCTTCATTCTCATATTGTGTATTTTATACAGTAAACTCTAAAACTGACCCTTTTATTTTTTGTGTCTATTAAAATTCATGTAATAATAAGATATATAAATGGAAATCACACATGTCTACTATTTATATAATAATCTTGATTTTTACCATTTTATATATTTTTTATCAATTAGGATAAGTTTTTTTCCGTGCATCGCACGAGCGATGTACTAGTTCCTAGCAAAGGAGAAATTTAAAGACGGTCAAAAAAGAGATGACATAGACCATAGTGACATAAGAAAAGAAATTAGTGAGGGAGGATTGGTTGAGCAAGAGGTGTCAAAGGAGATAAACCCAATTATCTTAGTTTCGAACGATGTACAAAATATCATTTCTTTTAAAATTATTTTATTTACAAATTGCTAAAAAATAAAAAGTGAAAATTACACCGTTTAAAAATAGATCAAAAGTTCTGCAAATAAAATGTGACAAGAATTTTTTATTTTAACAAATAGTCAACCAAAAAGAGTAAACAACAAAATTTATCGATATGCCGAAATAGTAACTGCTGCTTACATTTTGAGACGGATGGAGTAGTATATAATACTTCCTCCATCCTGAAATAGATTATAATCTTTTCATCTCTCTACTCCCGATAATTTTTGTTTATTTGTGTGTTTTCATTGATTATTTGATAAAATGAAATATTCTTATCACTTTTTGTTTTGTACAACTTTTGAACTAATTTTTTAATATATAATTTATATTTTTATTAATATACTAATTTACAAATAAAATTATATTCATAAGATGAGAAATTTTTCCTCGTAACTTCCAATTTGTAATCAAATTAGGAACATATTGATGGCCAAGTAAGCCAAGGGATGGTTATGAAAAGAAAACTAAAGTCAAGGGATTTTTATTTGCAGGACTTGACTGGATTGCCCTCTACTTTCTCTGAAATTACAGTACTGCCAACAAATCAGGGTTTCTGCCATGTGGAGGGTAATGGTTTCATTGATGCTGCTTTGTTCTCGGCGCCGACTGCCGAGCGTGAGGAACACATTCCCCTCTGAATGACGTAACAATTTTTTTGTCAAATAAAATTTTTCAGTTTTACTCCCTTCCTCCCAAACTTTTTGTTACATTTTGAAGATCATGAAAAATATCATCTCTTTCAAATTTATTAGTATTTTTACTTGTGCAATACACAGGGTCGAATGATTTTTTTTTATATTCTGAAACTTTTTCAATGCTATATTTTTTTCAAAATAAAGAAATACTATCAAAAAAGAGCCAAAGTAGAAAAAATAATACTCCGTATTTAAGGAATTAAATGTGTACTCAACCAAGCTTGTTTTAATACCAAATTTTCTAAAAGATTTCAAGATATATGAATTGGTCAAGGAGGTATATCTTAGAGTTCTTCTAGATATCCTTAATAATCATCATCATTATACAAGTGGGTATATATTTAGAGTTCTTCTAGATATCCTTAACAACATTATTCATTAATTCATATTCTTAGTTCAACAATCATTTAATAATCCATAATATTCATCAAATGAACAATCTAATAACAATCAGCGGCCTAGCATCGAGTGTTAACACCCTAGCTTACCGTCATGCATCACATAAGATCCCTTTTAGTTGTTAAAACACCATCTTTATTCCAAGAAATCATCCTTTTATTAATCATAATGGTTTGGTATCAAAATATAGGATTCCATAACTCAAAAATCATGTTTTCTAAATAAAAATTGATTAACATATGATAGGAAATTCAATTATTAGCTATTAGCTTCATTTTCTTCAATAGTGTAGGGAGACAGTCTACTGTCACTTCTGATAATCTACTGTCTGATGTTCAGAATGGGCTGATAATCGATTATCACACTCTGATAATCGATTATCAAACTTCAGAGAGGGCTGACA